ATTGAATTATCCAATTTTTCTTGGTATAAGCATATTTTTAATAAGCATAGGATATATACTACATTCTATTAGATTATATTACTTTATCCCAATACCACCTCTCTGGTAGTTACCACTTCTTCCAAACATGTAAGAAACTATGTAAAATTGTCATCATTCAACATACTACTTATTGCTCTACTGGGAAGGCAAGCTGAACTTCATGTATGGTTGATTTTGTTTAACATAAATTGAATTCAGAGTGATTATTAATTAATTACATGAGCAATACATGGGATCAGTGCTGTATAACTGGTCAGTATAACTGACAATTTCAGTTATACATGAGATTTTATTCCTTTAAGAAACTCTTCATCTTAAAAAAAAAAAAAAGCAATGCACATCCTGAATCGGGACAAATTCAATCTTCCTTGGTACCCATCAATCTTCCTTGGTAGCTATCATGAATCCAACAGCAATGATGAGAAATTACTGTTGTATCCAGATTTCTGATGCAGAAAAAAGACATGGAAACGTATCATATACATCAGAAACTCTAGAAAAGAAGTGCGACAACAAGGTACCACTGTTGCTTCTGTTCCCCTTCTAGATTGTTCTGTTTTTGGAATACCATGCTTCAGATTATTTTCATTTCAGGGGATTTAAACCTAAAACAGTGACAAATCAACTAATTCCTTCGATAAATTAGAGAAAAGAAAATTCTGTATTCCTTGAAATCATTTGTAAGTACAGCTCTTTTTGATACCTTGATTATGAAATCTTATTCATACTGTGATATTCAATAAGCTCAATGCCCATTAGAATGAAAAAGATGGGGACAAATCATAATAGCTGTTTTAGTCTACTGCTGGACTTTCTTTCCTCAACCATCCATATCCTAATGCTCTCCAACTACCACTGCACAGAGTTGTTTTATCTCATAAACACTAATATGCATGCTTTCTGTTTATAGCAGACAGTTTTATATGTTAAACCATCTACAAAAACAACTATTTTAGATTTCTTAGCAGATAACCTGAATTTTGAATAACTCGTGCACTATCCTTTTGGATGGATATTCAGTTTCCCTCCCATGCCCATAAATTTACTCACTAGGGATCATTGGTAAATCGAGGAAGTCGTGGCTGAGGGAAACCATAAAGATGACAGTAGAGTACATCAAAGCAGTAGCAGCACATCTCCGCTGTCACGACTAGATTTTTGGTGCTGTTGGCAGTTCCGTTAGGCCGGGCAAGTGGGCTCAATGCTCCTGAAGTGGGATTCATTCGAGTAATTGGAGAATTTCCGGGGCATAAAGTCAAATCTGAGACATTCTCCCTTCCACTGCCCCCATCTGCATGCTGGTGGTTCTGAAGAGGACCTGAACTAGAGACTGGCACAGTTGTGGCTTGATTCCCGTGACTATGTGTTCCACTTCCAGACAATTTGGGTTTCTTTACCCCACAACAGCCTGCTGCCAACTTGGGCTCAAGTGGAGGAACACAGCGTCTTTTTCCCATCCTGATTCAGCACCTACTGTCTGAAGCACTGTAGAACCCTGATAAAACACACAATATGCAACATATGTCATTTCATTAATTAAAAAAATATATAACAAAGTACTTTTTCCAGTAATAAAACATATTATAACATACATATTATACAAGAAAACTGGCATATGGCATAGCCAAAAATTAAACAGAAACAAACTGAGATTATATGACATAATCAGAAAACGCTAGACTACCATCTTATGTAGTCCTCAAATTATGACAGCAATTGGGACCAGGATTGCTGTCGCTAAGTAATGTGGTCATAAAGTGTGGTCATATGAACACATCACATAGCAATGGCAATCCTGGTTACCACTGTAATACCGAGATATGCTAGTTGCTAAGTGAAAAGTGGCAGAAGGCGTATGGGAGTGACACAGAGGACGGGGGTGTTGCAGGGGGTATCGAAGCAAGGGAAGGCCGATGCAGGCTGTGCAAGTTACAGGAGGTAGGAGAGGAGTTTTCAAGAGTGATGCTTCAACTAATATCTTGTCTGGAGTACAAAACTGTTGTTTTGAAGACATCTTGGCTGCTTGAGGGCTTTGGAAATATTCCAAGCTGAAACCAGAATGAGTTCTAAAATGCTTGAAACCACATGTTTCATACTTGAAATGGGACATATTGTGAAATTTGAACTTGAAAAATTTAAAAATGTGCAGATCTCTACTTTCTACTTTTGGAAATAATAGTCAGAGAAACCCAAGAATGATATTTCTTCTTGGTTAGACTTCTGTTCCTATTAAAAAAATATTCTGGATCAAGACAGATGGTTATCCATACATGCTATTTATTAGGACAAAAACAATTTTTCCTTCTTTGCAGCCACCCTGCATGGTCTTCTAGAAACAAAATGGCCGTATCTTGTTATCTTTATATTTAATGAGTGCATCATCCATTCTTGGAAGTGTTATTTCCTCAGTTATAATTGGGCAATTTGTGCAATGTGGTATAAGTGATCCCTAATGATTCTGATCAGGGAATCCCAAATGATAACATAGATTCTTCAATCTCTGGCAGAAGAGCTGTTTCTGCAGCATAACTAGCTTTATTTCAAATTATAAAGTGAGCAGAAAAACAGTCTTAGCTGTAGGGCTCAAACTTTGAACAAGATTGAAGCAAATGGTTACCTAAATTGTGATAAGGATATGCAAAATTTGTAAAAATATTTAAAAATGTTCAATTACATATTTTTCACTGGCAGCTAAATATGCTGAGTAAAACTTCAGCATGCAATATATGTTTATGCTAAATTGATATTGTTTACAACTATGTGAAGGAACTGTATACTAATACTATGTGCCAAAGCTCTAAAATGTGTATACAAAATGCAGGTATTTAACACAATACTTCATGTTAAATATTTGTAAATATCAGCCTCCAAAAAATTAAGAATTAAGTCCCTATTCAGTTCCTTTTTAGAGAGAAAGAAAATAAGAGGAAAAAGTTATATAGCTAGAAGATAACCTTCCTACTTTGCTGGAGTGTGGAACAGCAGCAGCTGTCACAACTGTTAGCATCACCATTTACAAGCTATTTGCTTTTTTATACTAAAAAGCTTTTGTATATTAGGCTTCAGATAAATGCTTACTGAAAGCAGAAACCTTGTACTGCCAAGGGGGAAGTGGACAGGTGGAAGGGGAAGCTATTTTATTTCTGGAATGAATTTCCTTTTCTCACGGCCCATTCCTGTTTCCAAATCTGAAAAGAAAGAAATAAAACCTATAAATTTTTAGATGTAGTTGAACACCAGTATACTGTTACACTGTCAACAGACTTGCAAAAGTGACTAAAAATATATTGTAAAATATTTCCTATATGTGGGAATTTTTTTTCTTTGTCTCCCTTCCCCATTCATCTTTCTTATATTTGACTCTTGAAGCCTTTATTTAAATACATTTTATATTACAAATAAAATGTACACACACACACACACACACACACACACACAAATACATACATACACTTATTCTTTTAAAGTAACTTTATCTCAGTGTCTGGAACACATTTTCTTTAATATATAGCTATATGGGGGGTATTGTAGAAAAAAATGAGCAAAGTAAAGTAGAATAATACAAATTATTAGAAATATCTAAGAACAAGGAGGGACAAGGACGTTATCACTGAACTATGTAACACTGGTGGAATAAAAAGATTAGCATTTGCAAAAGAAAGTGACCTGGAATAACAAAAGCCACTATTAGAGCAATGTCTATAGAGGAAATCAAGAGTTTTCAGAAAATCCTCAGCATATTTTTTGCAACATTCAAGTTGTGAATTTTACTTCTAATTAAGGCACAATTATACGCATACTTAAATTTCCCTTGATTCCCTCCCTAAGTAAAAAAAAAGGTAGAATATTGTGAATGAGTTTAGCTTACTGTAGCTGCAATTCTAAGAACATATTAGGGACTAGTACTGCTGTGAGGCATGTTCCTGTATAGAGGCACCACAGCATATACAGTACAGTACAGAGCAAGGAACAACCTGGATTATTTTAGCAACTGCAAAAAAATCTAACTTGGATTCTCTTCATTCATACAATTTCCCAACACCATGCTATATAATTTAACATGACAGGAAAGCAGCAAGGAAAAGGAAGCTTGCCAAAGTCACCCAGTGAGCTCGATCTGCTTCAACCGGGGCGTTTTGAGCCTTAATGGGGCTAAGAACCTGGCAATCAAATAGGCTCAGGACCCCCGGACCCTAAGCGAAGTAGCAGAGCAGAACAAACGTGAAGGGACCCGCTGGCCTGGCAGGAAAGGGAGGCAGAAAGGAAAAGCTTCCAAGATCGCCGACAGGCAAGGAGACAGTCGGACAAGGAGCTTCACTTGAAGGTCTGAAGCTTCGCCTGCGGGGTAAGAGGCGAGGCAAGCGGTCTGCGGTGAGATCTGAGGAGAGCCGAAAGGCTGGGTATACTCTGCCTGCTTCTCCCCCCCCCTCCCCTCCCCTCCCCCAGGGACGGGGCTGCCCAAAAAAGAGCCCGGCACGGCGCACCTTTTCTTTCCTTGACGCGAAGACAGTTCCCTATTCCAGTTACTTTTCAACCTAACCACCGCCGTCGCCACCACCACCACCGCCGCCACCGCCGCTCCTCCTGCTCTTGCCTCCCCGCCGCCGCCGCCACCTCTACTACCCCGCGCTTCATGGAGCCATGGGCCAGGGTGGGCGAGAGCTGGAGAAGTGGACCCAGCGGGGCAGGGGAAGGGAGGACAAGACAGGCCGTGGGAAAGAACCGCACAGCAGAATCGGGCGAAGAAGCGCGGAGTGGCCGCCGGCTAAACAGAGCTGAAGCAAGGCAGGAGAGCCCAGGTCCTCCACCTTCCCGGCGGCCCTTTCTTTTGAGTGTGAGGTAATGGGAGAGGAATGTGCACACCGACCTCCCATCGGCCCCATGAAAACCATAGACAGAGCGAGGACAGTTTCTCCAAAAAGAACCATAGATTACAGGAACTTCCACCCGCCGCATAGGGAGCCGTTAAAAAGGTCACGTGAGAAGACCTGCCGACTATAGAGAACGAAGGGAAATGGAGACGCTCGTCTTTTTAACGGATAACTAGAGCTGATTGCGTATGTTATTAGGCTTTCCTTTGGAATTCCCTCAAAAGGCTATTTTGTCGGTCCACCGGTAAGAACTGGCAGCCTCAAGATGATCAGGACAAGTTTGCTAAGTCTTTAACGGCACGTAGGCGAAGAAAATCGGTCGTGAAAACTATTTCGGGACAACCGTTCAATGTTTAGAAGCTCTGGCTTCTTTTGCACTCGTTTAGCTAACGATGGGATTAAAAAAAATTCTAGTATTGCAACTTAAAAACGCTCGGTTCTATCGATCAGTGGTAGGCATTATTTAACCAGTGGTAGGCAATTTTTAATTCTATCACATAAACTAGAAACGCATTACTTTTCAGCCCAAAGTCTCACCACTTCAAGTGCACTCTTAAAAAAAAGGAAACCAAACTACCGATGTAGAAGCTCCATATGTCTTTCCTGCATATGGCCAATTTTTCATGGGACGAAGATTGACTGCGGTTAATAGCATTATGTACACCTCAAAGTGGGATTTTTTTTTCAATCGTGAAACAATATGTCTTTTGGACTTCTTCAGAAATTTTACAACATATACATTGCAGGTAATGTATAGCTACAGTTTAGGTGATTGTAGAAAGAAAGATGAACGAAATGGAGAGAACTTTTTGTAGCTTTGAAATACCTCACTTTCCACAAAACTGTTACTGGCTACTAATCTCAGCTTCTTATTGGCAATATTTCAAAACAGGTCAGCCAATAAATTGTATTAAGATTTACATAATACTGCATCTAAGTATATAGATTATTATTATTGTCATGCATCTGATACTCTTCTATTTAAGACATTATCCAGGTACTTCTGACTTTTTGTGATCTGATGAATATTGTTTTGCAAGGACTGTTTGTACATGCTTGGGTGATTGGTGACATTATTTAACTACTTTTTCTTCCTGTCAACTTTTTTCAATTGTCTTCAGTTTTTCTGAAATACATGAAATCAAACTTATTGCATTTGTTAACCAGAACAAGAGAACTAGAATTCAAATGTCTAAAAACATAATTGATAATACCAGAATAATTAGGAAAGTTATATAGAAACAAATAATTTTGATTAAAAGATAAAAGACTAAGTGCATGTTCAGGCTACACATATAGAACCAAGGAGAAAAATTAAAATTTGCAGTCTAGTTAATATAAACTTTAAAATAACAATATAAAACAAATACTTCAGTTTTTCTGAAGACCAGGTTTTCTTCCAATAAGTTTTAGCTTCAGTATTCTAGTGAGCCGTCTGATTTTATTTCAGTTTTTGTTCTTTTTGTGATCTCAATTTTCTCTAGAGACACAACTGACATCATTTTTTCTTGATTTAGATTTTCAAATAGTCCAACTTTCACAGTCATATACAATTGGAAAAACCATTTCTGTGTGACCTTTGCTGGCATGTCTTTTTTAAAATCAAAATTTAAAGACTCAAGATAAATTTGATTAAACAAGGACTAAGTAAGTGTCTTTTTTTGCAGATAATTAAATCAGCTATTTTCATGAAGGTGCTGACAGTACTACACATTTTTACTGAGATGTACGTTCAGCTGAAGTCATAGAAACTTCCTTTAGTAAGTATGCTTAAGGCTGCAGGTTTAAATGACAAATGTAATTGTATTGGCAGATTGAATTGTAGAGCAGGCAAAATCTACTGCAGATGTTTGTGACACAGCATTTTAAGGAGAAGTTTTCATATTTTGCATTGCTAGGATAGCCTAAAATGATAAATAGTAAAGCTTGATTGCTGTAGGTAAAGGTTGCAATTCCCATATCCAGTACTCCTGTTTGAAAAAACGACACAAAGCTGGAGGCTTTGAGTGAAACCACAGCATACCAGAACACAAGAAAAAATTAGGCATCCTGATTCAAGAGGCAATTTTGGGAAACAGAGTAAAGCATTCATAGGCTGGCAAAAAGCTATCATATATTGTTTTTCATGTATTTTATACCTCCTGTGTATTTCTGAAGAAGACAGCTTGCTATTCTTACAACTCTGCTCCTAGGAGTATGGATTTGGGACAAACTGAGGTTTCTGGGGACAATCCACAGGTCAGTCAGTTATCTTCTCCCTTCCTTCTTGTAAATTGTTCCTTCTTTAGGGACTGCTTTCTGTTTCAGAAGCATTTCATCCTCCTTTGCAGCCTGTCTCCCTGACTAAATATATGATAATGGGAGGGAAATAAATGCACTTCCTTTGAATATGTGCAGTCTAGTAGGCTTCTCTCCAAATAATTTACTGTATCCTTAATAATATTGCCCCTAAAGTTCAAGGCTAGACTGTGGCTAAGCCTGCAAGTTCATCTGCAGGATTAAAGCTTGTAGTGGACCTGACCCCCAAAAATAGGAAATACTGGCCAGGAGAGGGAGCACCTAGTTTTAGTTAAATTGGGAAATGGTCCAGCAGGTTCAACTAGTTGTCAGAATGTTATCTCAGTGGGGTACTCTTACTTTCAAAGTTCCCTTTCCATTTTTGAAATGGGCATATATTATCTACCACTAGAAGGTTGGGACAGCATGGCTAAAAGTTGTTTTTTTCATGAATGGTATAGAAATTCTCCCCCCCCCCCCCAGCAGAATTGAATCTATCTGCAACTGGCTTGCCCTTCTCTGGCAGGAGTAGAGCAATTTTGCAAGGGGGGGGGGTTCTACCTAGACCCAAAATTCTGCAAAAAAATTGATCTTACTCTGGGATAAAATTCTCATAGATGCTTCTGTTGACAAGTCTTTCCAAATGTGTGATTTCACCTCAGATTAGCTAATGGCACCCATGGGGATATGAGAACCATTGAATTATTAGAAAAATAGAGCAAAGAATTCCCAGGTTGACTGCTAGTGAATGCATGGCTGTGTCTTTTGTGTTTTCTTGACATCAGTATGGGTGTGATTTGTGTGATCATCCCAGTACTTATTAGATCTGATCCTCTTTAATAATATAATTATTACTGTTATATAGATAAAACCTTAAAAAGTCTGATTTTATGTATAAAATACTAAATCTTATAGAATATTGCTTCTAAGTACATAGAATTGCATTGTCACGTAGGAAAAAAAAAAGGATTTTGAACCCGGTGACATTTGCAGACCAGAATCTTAGTAACTTTGCAGAATTACTTAACTCATTTTTGATAAATTTAGTTGCTTATTAGAATTAGGAAGATATGGCAACACAAAATTCTTAGTTTTTCCTTTTTCTTTTACATAAAAATTGTGAAATCAAATGTAATTTTTGATTTCATATAAAAAAGAGGTCAAGGAACCCTTGATGCTATCCTAGAATACAAATACTCTGGAGCTATAGCGATGGGCAGTATGCTATAGAATCCATCAGGTTTATTGTATATTGACTCATGAGCTGACAACATATAAAAAGGGCATTCATTGCTATTCATTGTTAATTGAGGAAGCATGTACATTAGGAGAAATCTCCAGTTTAAGGTTCTTGTTCTATAATTGCCCTTTTAGAGCTAATGGATGGTCTGAAAATGTGGCTTCAGGAATTTATTATATGATTGCATGGTCTTTTCTACACTAATGCAAATGGACTATTTTAAAATAGCTCTGTAAATATTTGCATAGAAATAAATGCATACATAAGCTGTACCTCAACTTTTAACTGTCACAACTGCTACACAAACTCTCATACGAGTGCAAGCAAAAATCCTTATACCAGATCAGTCCATTACAAAGAAAATACCCATCTTGTGCAAAAGAGTGGTACCTAAATTTTACATCATGCAGGCAGGAAATATGAGGCGTAAGAATTTGAACTTTTATCCCATTAGAGTTTGCATTTGCTATAGAGCAGTCATTGGGATTTTTGTGGCACCTTTGTTAATTTTGCTACAATAAATCTACTTGGGGTCCTTGAAAAATCTATTCTTTCAGTTGCTTTCCTAGCTGAGCTGGCAAAAGTGCAATTGTTTTCTAAGTAGAACACTAGAATTGTGTAACTGTAACAGAATAATGTAGCACTTAAATTGTTACATTTTCAAAAGTCTTCATTGGCTTTTTAGTGTTGAATCTGCAACAATGAGGGCAGGCATATTATTGGTAATAGAGAATAATATTTAAGATTAACATTTAACATATTTAACAACAGTGTGTTCCATAGGATAGGGTTGTCTTAGAGAATTTTTCATTTTATGCGCTTTAGAGGACGAAGTTTTTAAATGATGTCAAAGTGCCACAAAATTTTTATGATGGGGATCTATACAGTGGTGTCAATTTTTGGATTTGAAATTGGAGAAATTTTTAGAGCCATAAAGATATTTGTGACCTCACTGATCTGTGGGGCTTGCTAATTTTCTCAATAGAAGTTGACATGGTTTTGTTATCCAGATACAAACATTTTTCATATGTCCATTTTGATGTTACTTTTCTTGCCTGATATTCAATTTTATTGGTACATAAATTAGAAAAAGTAAGAGTTGTGTGTGTTGGGGGTTTTGGTCTCTCTTCCTGACTAAAAATTGGAGCAACCTGAAGCTTAAGAAGAATTAAAAGTGAAATACAGAAGTACAGAATGATAATTTTGGATTACCTGAATGACACTGGATCATGAGCATGAGAAACTCTGATAAAACTATACATACATATTAAACTGACCTTTGGTTAATAGTGGCATAATCTTCTTATACCGTGCAGTCCTAATTGAAATCAAAAGCAGGATTTATGTAAAGTTTGGATTCTTATTCTTTCAGTCAAAATGACAAATTTATACAATCTGGATATCTTTATCTTATTTGCATACTAACTATAAGATTGGATTGAAAGAATTATTGGCTTCTAAAATCATCAAAATACCTGTAATCTTGATGGATTAAGAATATTATCATTGTTCTTAACAGCTTGGAAGGGAAATATATACTTTAATATAGGCTTTTCTCTTTCCCATTTCCATTTTTCCACACAATTATAACCATTATTCTTATACAAAATCCTCCAAATCCTTTATTTACGTTTTCAGATGTTATATAACACAATTTTATGCAATATAATGAACAGCATCACACCAGCTACAGAAAGAACTGTGCTGTATTTGAAAACAATATCCTGGAGCACCAACATGGGCACAGCACAAAATTCACAACACTACAAATAACTTCTGAAATGTATTTTAAAAATAGACAGCTAGAGACTGCAGAACCACTTATGATTCTAAACATAGCAGAATTGCCAGTGCAAGGACACTGGTTTATGAAGGCTGCTTCAGCCATTGCAAGTTCATAAGGAGCCTGAATGGGCAGGGCTTAGTGGAAGTAGTGTCATCTCAACTTTTTCCAATTTATGACAATTTGCTTCAAGACAGATGGCTCTTGAGGTCTGTTGCAGGAATCCATTGTACAAATCAGTGAAGTAATGTCTAAAACTGTAAGATGAAAAGAAAGGGACTATCACACCTGTGTCAATGGTTCCAATTAGTAGGCACTGGGACATATCGAGAGAGCTAAACAAAATGAGACTGAAGAGTTTAAACAGGGACGAGCCTGAGAAAAATCTTTGTTCATTGACAGATTATTAATAGTCTCTTAAGGTCACTGGGTTCCATGTTTTAATTCATCTTTCTTGTCTTTTTTACTTAAATGTTGCTTCTTACAAGAAACCTCCAATAAAAGAACCTTAACACTGTTCTGTACATGTTTTGTTTTCAGTCCTTTTAGTTTTGTTTCTAAACTTTTTCTTTTCTCTTCAATTTGGATACCTTCTTGACAGTTCCATTTTTGTTAAGGAGCTTCAGAACACGCTCTTTGTGATCTAAGACCTTTAGCATGGATTCTCGAGCCTCATTTATTTGATCCATTACAAGTTTACATCTCTGCATATTTCCCTGAAATACAACATTGAATTTAAAATGTTAATACTTCAACGTATTGTATTTTATCTTCAATAATCTTCATACCAAAAAGTACAGAAGCTGAAGAACTGAAGTATTATTATAGCATATCAGAAGGGACGATTCAGAACAAAGTTCTCATGTAACTCTCCTCCCCAGTTCTTGCTGACAGTGTTCTAATACAACTGGTTTCTATAGAAAATTTGAAAATTATTGCACAACAAAAGTGAGATTAATGATAAGGTAAATAATGGCAGGTATTGTATAGGGAACCACATGCCAACAACATAATTCTGACTCTCAAATCCATGTCTCCTTCCCCACTCTGCTTTTCATTAAAATGAAATATGCAGAGCCTAGGGAACTTCAGTTGAAAAAGATTATCTTTCTTATTTTAAAGTGTAGGTGAAAGATTAAATGGTGTTTAACAGGAAATGGACATCAGAAAGGGGAAAGGGTAGCCTGAACATAAATGTATACCACAAAAACTATGTAATAGTTTAGCATACACAAATTTATGGACGTATTATGTAATGCCAGCTTTGAATGCAATATTGTCTGATAAAAGAAATAATTTAAAATGGGTTGATAACAGGTTCTAATATCAGAGCCTAAAAAACAGACTTGATAATACCGAATTATTTCTTTATAATTTTCAGTTGATACATGAAGCTTTATTTTTCAGATATTAAACATCTATTTATACAAAATATGTTCATTTTTATTTACAGTCCAGGAAATATGAATTAAATCAGTTTGCCAAGAAAAAAGGAACCAAATGAAAATCTTCAATTTACTTACTGTATTGATTAGCTTTCTTTTACAGTTGTTTCATCTAAAAAAATCAAGGCTTTATTCTGCAGCTACAGCTGAGGCCAAAGAAAATTAGCAAAATAAATACAACTCACCTGTATCAATTCATTTATTTGATGCAAATCATCATCAGTTGCTGCCTTTTTCTTGGGGATAATGCCTTCTTGTAAGGAAGTGAGTCGTTCATACACATCATGTTCCAGATTAGTCTATAAAGTATTAAAATTTGACAATATCTAAGCTTCACACTCTTTCATAACATGGAGTATAAAATTAGAAATTCTAATTCAGTGTATCTGATTTCAACATATTCAGTATAATTTCATTGCTTTCAGAACAGCAGCAAAGTCTTGATATTGATAATGACATCAATATGTTTCAAAGAGGAAGAAGGAACACCCTAAATCACTGAATGGGAAAACAGATTCTAACTGCCTACAGTGTACAAACATTATACCACCCTTCCATATAGGCCCAAACTTTCTCCAGTGCTTTTAGTTCTTAATTGTCACATAACTACCACTTAGTGCTTAGATTAAAATCTTGATTCGGTCTAAAGCATCATATACTTTTAAAAAACCAACAGTTGTCTATGTATAACTACACATCTTGGTTTTCCTTTCTACACTTCTGAAATATAAAGACTTGGCACTAAGCCTAAGCACTTACCTCTCTTGCAGTAGGGACAACCAGGAGGAATATACAATAGTGTTGCCTCAGATCAGTGGCTCCATACCACTTCTTTAAACCAGTGCGCCCAGAGTAAGTTTTGAACATTTGAACAAAATGTATCAGTATGCCTGACTCAAAATCTCCCTTACTAAAGGTTTAGGTTTATGTGATACAAATTTATCTGCATCATTTTTGAAGAGATAGTCATGGCAGTTTGTGGTAATTTCTATATGTAACTTTTCAAATGACTTCCTAAACAGTTCTGGAATTATTTTATACAGAATCAATATGACTTTCCCACTTACCAGCTGTAATAACTGTGCTGCGCAGAGATGGACTTTCCATCCCTGTGCACGGCAAGATACCCCTTTCTGATTAGCTATCTCTTGTAGCATAGCTTTCTTCTCTTCTAGAAGGAATGAGAGATGAGAAGGAAGCAAATGATCATGCCAAAAAGAAAGTAATTTATTTTTACAAAATAAAAAGACACAAACTGTTTAATAGAAGTATGTATAATTTATCACACTGATTACATAATGGTCAACTTCAGTTATTGAAATGGGACAGCCTTAAAAATCAAATTCTGATTTCAGTATGTGAAGATGTTTAAACAAAAGCAAAGCCTATATTCAGATGAAATGAATGAGAAAGTTATTTCAATCTAGGTGGTAATTTTTAGCTAGGGAATGTTGATTTCTGAGGATGAAGAATGGTAAAGATAATGGATCTGGAACTGAAAGATGAATTTTAAAAAGTTGTTAAGAAGAGAAAGATAGCAGAGTTGGACAGAAAATAACACTGCTTTATGGCAGTGGACAAGGTTGGCAGAATCATGTGACACTTAGACTTAGAATAACTTTATTGTCACTTTAAATGTACACCAATCGGCATACATTAAATTTCGTTGCATACTGCTCTCAAAGGGTCACCACCTCCAATATACACTGGAAGATCATGAACACTGGGAGGAGCATCTGGAGAACTGAAATGTGGGCTTCTTCACTCAGAGCTGCTGTGGCTGGAGCTGCTGTGAATGCTGCTGTTTGGTGATCAATAAATTAATGGATACCTAGATAGACTGCAGTTAAAACTAAAAGACCCTAAAAGGAATGGAAGAAATTTGGTTACAACAAATGAGAGCATGACCACAGAACAATAATGGCTAAAGAAAGGAAGACATGGAATAGCACCTTAACAGTGGTAGTGGATTGAATTAAATGAAAGACAGAAAATAATCAAGATGATTAGACTGGAGGAGTGAATTACATTGTGAGTGGAGCATGAGATAAATTATCTCACTCCCCAAGAAGAAAGGATAGCAACAGAATTCTGAAACACTTTGCCTGGGTGAGAACAAGGGAAATGGGACTCCAGTGGTGTCACTTCTCTGTTAGTTGGGAAACATCTGATCACCGCACTGGGTATTTTTAATGTATTAGTGTGATCCTTTCCCTTCTACAGATTGTGCAAGCCTGGATAACAAGGTAGATATCACTTGTTATATCTACTTAATACTTCACAGTAGAGATATAGGATCTGTTCATATGTTCTGATGAAGTTGAAAACATGGGAAATTCCAAACAATCTGGAGAGCGATAGTGTTGGGAGACTTATCAATCTCTGGAGTATAGAGATGATTAGAGCTTTTGATAGTTACCCTGTGCCCTCATTATTTCCAGACTGAATTTCTCTAATTTGTTATACACGGGCTTGCTAGAAACTTTGGCTGATACAAATTCAAGCTTGTAATAACCTATAAAATGCCATGTTTTGGCATATTTGTGAGGCTACTTGTTCTATGTAGAATTTGCTGGCAAAGAACACATACTGAGTCTCTATTTCCTATGTACCAGAATTCCCTTAACATGAATATCCTCAGCAATAAGACTGCTATTAACCAACACAATACTTGCTAAGACCTGGTTATTAGGCAGGCATTTAACAAATGAAAAACTGATGCAAAATGTATTTGGAGTGTGTATTGGCACTGGTTATTATTATTATTAATAGTGAGTTCTATTAGAGTAATATAATTGCTTTAGGGCAATAGGCACACTATACATGTAAAGGTCATACCTTGTGATCCAAATATGTAATGCAGTGTAAACAAGTATCTGTGGTTTTTTCCCCCCTTACAATTTATTCATGTTAGCCATCAAGAAAAAACATGTAACTGTCGCAAAGCTCTAAAGATACACTTTCAGCTCAGATATGTTCTAATAATTATGTTAGATTAAAAAAAGATATAGTAAGAGACTGTACTTTCTTAAAATAAATGGGTTGCATTGGCCAAGGACCATCAGGTTTGTGGTTTAGGAGAGCTGTGGATTTTAGTGAAATAAGTGCATTAACTTTATTGTGGATGAGACACCATATTATTTTAATGCTACTATGAATTTCAGAGGAATAATGTCAGGAGTTGCTGAGGTATAAAAAAGAGTAAGAGTATTGAAAATTAGTGTACCTAATAGCAACTGGAGAAATGATGTAGATTGTGTTATATTGTTGAAATGTTATATACTTTTAAATAGGCTTTTGCATGCATTGTTGATGACTAATACACCATTTCACACTGTGAAAATGTGTAGTGGAAGAGACATACCTTTTACTCTGACATCACTGTATCGCTGGAAATGATGATAGGCTGCTTTCCATGGATTGCGATAGTGACGGAGCAGAGTTATGGGTGGTCTTGGACGTACAGGCACATACCTCACTCCTTCTTCATCTAAAAAAAAATTTAAGAATAACTATTCAGGCTTCACTGAGAAGTTTGTATTATGAACTACAAAAAATGAATGTAATCCTATGACTGACTTTTAAAGCAGAGGTGAGTTCTGCTTTGTTTAATGCTAATTCTAGCATTAATCTGGGAAAAATATTTAATTTGTTTTTGGAAATAAAGAAGTTCTTCCTGTTCCCCTTCTGAAATGTGGTATTTGGGTGGCTGAATAGGGTTTTGAGAGATGACTAACTAGGAATTAAAAGTTTCCTTTCTGAATTCAAATAATCACCTATATATTCTTTTGGAGGTGATTTGCGCTTTTCTGCCTTTATCAGCAAGCTTTTGGTAGTGGATTTCTCATCATCCGTGCTATTCGTCTCCATCATATCCCCTTCCTCTGTAGAGATGATGTGTTGCTGCTTACGTGGTTTTTTCCTTGGGGAAGCACCTGGCGGCAAGTCACTTTGGGGTACTGTAAGATTGTTGGCCAGCAATGTAACAGATGGAGATACACTATTTGTGCTCAGTGGAGGAACTGCTGGAAAGGAAAGAGAAACATGTTTAAGACATTTCATAGTTAGGGTTTAGGAAACACTCCAAATTTTCTGGCTTTTTCTTCCAGAAAATGCAGTGTGTTGCATCACTTGTTCTATTTCTAATATGCATTTATATGACAGACACTTTAGAATATTCTGCAAAATTATTCTCCCAAATGACTTAAAGGCCTTGCAATAGTCTGTCTCCCTATTGGGGGTTCTTTTCAGGAGTTTGGCCTTTGTACTAAGAAACCAAACAATTAGCCTTTTTGATAACATAATTTGAGAAACATATAGTAACTAGGAAAATTTCAAGCCTCATAAATACAATAAAATATTGATAATATTTGATACTTAAAGATGGGATAACTTAAGACAAAATTCTTTTCTGTAAAAAAAAAATAAGCAAAAGATCTTCAGGGGCTCTACAAACTTTACTAATGAGGTCCTTATCTTGAACACAAAACAATGATTTGCTTATTTAATCAAATTATATAGCCCATCCATCTTCCTCCAAAAAGGAAACAGAGTTTAGTTGAAGCCTATTGTTCCCCAACTATTTTTGAAAACAGAAGAGGCTTCTTGGATGAGAAGTGAAACCAAGAAAGTCCAGTTGCCTTTTGGAAAAAGCACCTTGGGACGATCTAGATAATCTACTTCCTCCAAAGTTCTCTGGAATAGTTGCTCAACAATTGCCTCTATCACCAAGTCCACAGTGCTAAGGCCTGGTCCACTTTTGGGGGCAAAATAGGTTCAAACAATTTCCAGATAACGGCAAGATACCACCCCAAATATCTCTGAGTTTGTGACAACGCAAGTGTCCAACAGGGAATGAATCCAAGCATCTTTATCTGACAGAAATTCTGCAAATACTTCCATGCGGTACCTCCCTTATCCTGGAGGGCCTGGGTCAGCTGAAGAGGTGGTGTAGTTTGCAGCTGAAATAAGGGCAGGTATGTACTGGTGCTTTGCTACCCATTCCACCATGAGGTAGACTTTAATAGCAGCTCTAATCTATGTTTGGTTGAGTTCACCCTTATTCATGTCTCACAGTTGCACAAATGTAACACTTTTAACAGACACTCCAATTACAGGCAAATACAGTACTTATGTAGGAAATTTCCCCAAGTTTTCAGTGATATGCTAATTTTTGTTTATGCAGCAATTTATAAACTTCTTTATATAATGATATAGAAAATCAAAGCAATTAAAATGAAACAAGTCTTTTCACCATTATTTATTTATTTATTTGATTGATTGATGTGCTGCCTATCTCATCTAGAAGTGACTCTGGGTGGCACATATTAAATCAATTTGAAACAAGTGCTCAAGTTGGTTTTCCTAAACAATTCTAATCTCTCTCTTATAATTATTTAAACAAGTCTAAATGTTTTCAAAGTAGACTGGAGAATCATTTTACTGGGATGATATAAGACTCCTTCTGTAAGCACCACTAGAAGATCTCTAAGATCACTTCCATCCTTATGATTCTCTAAATCAAAACAAAACCCCCCAAAAAACACCTTACCTGAAACTGGTCTCATTATATCCAAAGGTTCCACTTCCTCTTTTATTTTTATCTCTGGTACAACAGGACCCAGTACTGTAGACAGGATACCACTTATGGTTGATGGAGGTGGAGGAACAGTTACAACTGTGGCTGAAGTAGGTGGAGGAGCTGGAAGTGTTCCTGGAATGCTTGATAGAGCAGTTGTGGGCTGCGAAGGTGGACTAGCTGCTGTGATGATTGTTGGAATGGCAGACTGTGGCTGCTGAGAAGTAGGGACTGAGACAGGAGGTTGCTCATTGCTCTGTATGGATACTGCCTCCACAGACACTGTTACAGGAGTGGCCATTGAGACATGGATTTCTGGCTTAGGTTTAACACTAAACAAAACACACAAATTAAAAAGTTAGACTCTTTCTTCAAGATCCTACAACAATAAACTTACAATAGTATAGTGAAACAAGCAGAGCCATATATATTCAGAAATTAAATGACCATGAACCCACTGCAAATTTTGAAGCCTTCCCCAGCACACGTTCTGTGTTTTTCTCTCATTAAGAACCTCCTAGTCCCAGCTTCTACTTTCTGCTGAACGAGGAGCTATGAATCCAGGAGCACCTCCTTGGGGGAATGCAACCCTGTCTAGAAAACTTTGGAGACCATATTATTAAATTTTGCTGATGACCAACAGCTTTGTTTTGGTAGGGTTTATTCCAAGCCTGTTTCATTCCATCTAGACCCTCAAACCTCCAGATACCTGTGCAAAATTTCTGGTATCATTCATGATGGCAATAAATTATCAATGACTTTGATCAATATACTGGTGATACTTCACCTGAACTAATGGATGACTTCCCCCATTGGTTTCATTTAGGTTTTAAACAGCATGGGAGAAATCCCTGAGCCTTATGGGACTCTCTGCTGGAGCTTCTGTGGATTTCAGCTCTCTGTGTCTATGATCACCACTGAAGCAATCTACTCGGATAGAACTATTCTAAAATAGTGCACTTACTTCCAGCTTTTGCAGCTGGTCCAGTAGAAAGCTGTAATTGAATATTACCTACGGGTCTAGCAGGACCAAGACAGAATATATTCCCCACATCTATGTTCTGATTCTTTCCCATGATGGGGCCTGAATCCTGACTGGAAAGGATCCAAACAACCAATTTCCCTTTCGTCCTTTCTAGCTGATTCCACATCATTTTCTCAATAATCTTTCTTAAAAACCATGTGTGGAAACGGCATCCAGGAGTTCTTTCCTAAAAAGAGATGACCTACCACTCCTTTAAAGCAGATGGCAATACCCTCTTTCTTAAAGAAGTATTAATATTATGGATTCAGGAACTCACATCCAACCTTATCCCATTATCTTGAATTACACAAGCTAAAAAAACTTTGCTCAGTGAACATTCATACATATGTTTGCTTATATTACTTGTTTTAAACATTTACCATAAGATATATTTTTGTTTGCAAAGCTAAAATAGGAGCTTTTTGGGGGGAGAGGGGGGAAATCTTACCCAGCTGGTCTTGGTGATCCACTTGCACTTCTCACAGAACTTTCTACCCGAGGGCCAGCTACCTCAGTTGGTTGAGGAGGAATTAGGCTTTTCCTCACTGCCAGCCTACAAAACAACACGCCAACTACTATGAAATTTCCTTTGTTTATAAGCATGAATATCTGTGTAAAGAGTATAGATCAACACTGTAATTAACTTAAAAATATTGTAGTAGCTCTCCAGTAAGGGAAAAACAAGAAATGTAATATACTGTTCTATTCTGCAAGTATAAAGCATTCATTCAATACTATGTCCAGCAATTTTGACAGCTTCAAGAAAAAGACTTAAAAATACTTTTTCTAGCTTTGATCTGCATATAATAAAAATACAATCAGATATAAAAAACTTTGCTATTTGTGGCTTCTTTTATGCTTTATTAGCAGTGTATTGTCAACGATATGAAATATGGTTGATGGAATAAATGTTACAAAATGAATTTACTTCTGATATGGTGATGAGCATATCATAAGTGTAAATATTTGCATAAATATTACTGCAACTGCAATTTTACTCACCCATCAGTAGTAGGTTTCTTTCGGAGAATGCTTGGACGTGGGGATGAACCCTGAGCTGATGTGCTAGAATTGGCACTCTGGCTGTGAGTTTGCACCACTGTAGTTGAAGCTGAAGCAGAGTTGAATGTATTGCTAATTGGATTGGCCATAATGGTGGCTCCATCTGCCAAGACCACTGGTGAAAATGGTCAGAAAAATTTAGTTGAAATGATTATCTGGAAATTATAACTTGCTTTCCTTAAAATAACCCATGTTTGTATCACAAATATTGATATTTTTAATTTATTGGGTACTCTTTATCTATACTTTTTCAGAATTAAATCTAATGATGCTCAATATAGCATTCTCCTTCCGTAAGTCTCTAAATAATAACTTTGTAGTTAACTCCTTCTTTAGAGAAAAAGGTGATATGCATTTCTAATCTTGGAGATTGAAAGAAAGCAGAAACTTTATCCTGCTTGATGACACCAGAACATTTGCAATACAATTGCAAGTATGAACAACAAAATAGCAATCTAACTCTAAATAATATGTCCTATGTGCAGTCCTTTGTATGTTTCCTTAAAAATTCCAGCATAATCAAAATTACTTCTTAAAAAGACCAATATTCAGAATGCGTTTTCCTAATAACACTAATATTGTCCAAATAGCAGGTGGCTATTAGAAAAAAAGAAATTTTTAATTGGGGCCTGCATTATGGTCTTTTTATTACTAAATGGAGACCACCTTAAATGGAATGCTTTCAAAATTCTTTTACATACTATTAAATTTTATTGAAATTTGGTTTTCTATTGTTGATGATTCTGTTTTAGATTTAATACTTGCATCTTTTATGGTTTTAAATTTTATATTTATACAAAGAAAATGGTAATTATTGGAATATATCTATATGTCTATATCTCTATATATCACAAATAAATCAGAATAAATAAAGACCTGATGTCTTGGTTTCAGTTTGTGGTTGCTGAGGCCCCAATGGTGCTGTTTGAAGACCTTGAGTGCCAATTGGTGCAGCTGGATGTAGCCCTTGGGTTCCAATTGGCGTAGACTGTATTCCTTGGGCACTGATGGGTGCTGGCTGTATCCCCTGTGCACCAATTGGTGTAGACTGTATGCCCTGTATGTGACGGGCGTGGGATGCATCTACTGTCATCAGCTGCATGGGATTAAGATGCACTGTCGAAGCTACTCCTACTCCTGTCTGAGCTGCTATGGCAGAATTAGGAGCCTGGGCTGAAACTGGAACGACATGCTTAATAAATATTCTGGTTTGTGTGGGAGTAATTGAGTGCAATATTGTTAAATGCACTTCATACCTGATAATGTAATTATATATCAGCAGTTTGATAGTAACAAAAGGTTAAGATCTATGCACACCAGTTTTAGCTTTAAATCCACACAACTATGCTGTTTCATATTGCTAAAGTTATATTATAACCAAACTTATTTGCTTTCACACCAACTCAAGAGAACATACTCAATTCATATCCCAGCTCCATTCATCACAGCATGTTCAATTAGCCAAATTATTATAGAAGATAATACAGTAATAGTCTAGCATAAAAACAAACCATACAATTGCAAAACTCATATAATAATACAGTGATTGTGAATTTAAATAAGAAAGTATCCAATTCAATATTCACTGAACTTAAACATATTGGATTGTTTTAGCTTGTATTTTCCAACAATACAGTTTATACTTACAATGGAGAGAGCTTGTTTGCATAACATACATCCCAAGCTCATTGCCAGAGCTTACAATGCATAATTCTTAATGTTCTTACAATCATATAAGAGATAATGTTCTGATTTATGCATTCTTTTCAATGCATAAACCAGAACATTAATCTCTTATATGATTTTTGTAATTATTAATTCATGTGGCTAACCAGGACACTTAGAAAAGCATTGAAAAAGCATTTTTCATAATAGATTTCAGATTTTTATGGTATTAAAAATACCATAACACTGCCATTAATACCTGTACTGCTTATTTACACCCGAAGAAACTAACTGAATAAATTACTAGCATTTTGTTGTAAGCCACTCAAAGACTTTGGATATAAGACGAGCGGCAAATAAATGCAATAAATAAATAAATAAAATGAGTGAATAAATTCAATAAATAATAAACAAACAAATAATAATTTCAAAATTTTGTTCCATTATTTTAATTAAGCAAAAGATGATCAACGTGTTTTTCTCTTTTTGAATTTGGCGATTAGGGTTTCTTTCTTAGATCCCATAATTTGCAGTCACATCTTCATCTTAAACATTGTTTTTATGGATAAAGTTATACTGCTGCTCTAGGTAAACTAATTGTAAATTAGTGAAATTAGTGAATTCTTACCAGGATATTGTCGGATAGTGGATACAGAGCTGGTAATAGGTGTGTAAGTGTGGGCAGCCAAAGGGTACGAAGGAGGATATGTTGGTAAGAAATACTGAAATTGAACAGGCACTGACTGTCTACAGGAGTGGAAATGAGAATGATTAAATACAGTCTTGCAATTAGATCCACTTAATAAAATATAGTTATGATTATTACATTTTATTATAGTGCAACTTATAAATCTTATTTGTTAGCTTATTTGGAGATGAGATTTAAAAAAATTTTTTTAAGAACATTTGAAAAGATTGTGGAAACAACTCATTTCTTTCTACACCTTGCCACATTATAATCCAATTAGAAGAATAAATATGGGATAAGGGAAAGGATTTTTACATATTACTTGTTTAATGCCTCCGGTTTTTTTTTTAAATTCTCAATTCCATTGATAATTAGTATAGAACAGCATGTATACATTTGACAAACTTTAGAAATGCATTTTTAAGCACATACATATTACAATCCATTTCTAAATACAGCAGGGTTTGAAATGCAGGATTTGACAAGGAGCATTATAGGTAGTCCTTGTCTTATGGCCACAGTTGAGAACAGAATGTCATGAGTCATTGCAGTCATAAGTTGAGTCATCACGTGACCAGACCAGATTTTATGACCGCTTTTACTGCAGTCCTAAGTCAAGTCACCAGGATCATATGTGCAAAACCATCTTAACCAACTGGCTAAAAATATAGCAAATTGTGATCACATGGCAGCAGGATGCTGCAACAAACCAGTCTGTGTATCAGATGCTAAGCATCTAAATTGTGATGTGACATAAGAGCAGGGTGATAGTGATTAAGAAATTATATTCCTGTATAAGAAAATAAGCTCGCTTACCTATTATCATTTCTAGCTTCCATTGCCACTGGATTTGGAGATGCACGGTGACCAGATATAGGAATAAGATTACTTCTCTCTGCAGTATAATCAGACTGGATGCGGGGAGGGGTGTGTGTGATTTGCTGGGGGACGACTTTAGCTGTATAATAACAAGAGACAATCCAGTTATTCACCATACTCAGTAAACTAAGATTAAGAAAATAACATATGTAGAAGATGATGTTCAGGGAACCAGTTCTATTATCCTTTTAACAGAAAGACAGTACATGATAATTTAGAGCTAAAAACACAGGCATTTTCAACTGGGTAGAAATGTGATATATACAATTTGTAAAGCATTATATGGGCAAAGACACCTATTGCGCTACTGAAGGAAAATGAGGGATGAATCTGATCAGATATGAGCTAGAGTCTCTATTAAGACTTTACTTATGGTGGTAAGAGCAGCATCTGCATAATTTTGCCTGGTGGCTTCTTTCAAAATCACCAGGTCCCTCCTGGAACAGGGAGGGGGGCGCTCACGTGATCAACTTTGAGGCCATTCAGAGAAATTTTTAGAACACCGGCTGGACAGTCACTTATATCTGTTCCCAGTTGGAATTCATGCACAGTGCAGGTCCATTAGAATACCTCGGGAAAGGACTTTCCCAATTATCTAGAAGCAGTTTGACTGTGCTGGTCCTGAGGAAGTGGGCAGAGTGCTCAGTGCTGTCAAGGTAACCACCTGCCAATTAGATCCCTGTCCCTCCTGACTAAGGAAAGCTTCCAGGACAGCAACTGCCAGATGGGTTCAGGCAGTGTTACAATTCTTCATTACAGGAGGTATGTTTCCATGATTAGGCAGAAGTCATGGCTAGGGGAGCCTTTGCATAACTATATGTTGTGTGCCAGTTGTGCCCTTTCCTGGATCTTGCATCCCTGCACACAGTCACTCAAGCCCTGGTCATCTCATGCTTGCAAAGTACTCTACATGGGGCTACTCTTGAAGAGTATTCAGAAGCTATAACTGTTCCAGAATATAGTGATGCGGACAGTTCTTGTTGCATTGCTATTGGCTTCCAAGTCCAATTCAAGGTATTGGTTATCATCTTTAAAGCCCTTCATGGCATGGGTCCAGGCTATCTGACGAAATATCTCACTCCAATGGAATTGGCTCATCTCACTTATGTTGGCAGAAGGGACATGCTGTGGATCCCATTGGCCAAGGAATTCCAACTAGTGGGATCCAAGAGAAGAACTCTTTCTGTCCTCTGAAACATCATGCCCTCTTTTGGCCTTCCGAAAGGACCTGAAGACCTGGCTCTACCAACTGACTGGGATCTCACATGTCATTCTGGATGTGGTTAATGGACTAATATCCCATCTCCTCCCCTGTGTGCATCTTGCTCTCTTCCTTCCCATCTTGTCAATTTTAAACCAAATTTAGTGATAATATTTACTATTTTAAAGTTTTATCTTGTTTTTACGATTGTAAGCTGCCTCTAGGCAAGATGGGTGGCATATAAGTTTAATAAATAATAAACTGCCTACCTCTGGGAAAAACAAAAATAAAATACTTAAATATTACAAATCAAATTACAGTATAAGAGAACCCACTCACCAACTGGGATGTTTGAAGTGGTCACAGCTGTTGCATGGGATGAATGCGAGGGCATAGTCACAGTGACAATTGTACTAGTGGCTGCTTGAGTGTGAGATATGGAACCTAGAAGAAAAATGTAATACAATTAAATCTCTCTGTAGAAATTGCCAATGAATATAGATGAGAAGAACAGGATAATCTATTCACAGTATTATATTCTATTGATAGAATCAAGCTAAAAGAAATGTCAAGCAGTATTTTTCACATGGTATGACACAGTGGGGCTAATGAAAAGGGATGTACCCCAAATCCTAGACTATATTTGTGCCCCTACAATCTTGCTTTCTTCTCAAATGTTACATATGGCTCATGGCCATCAAAATGTTGCTACTGTCACTCATTTCACTATTGTGAAAACAAAAGATTTTGTTTGAACAGTTTTGCAACTTTAATAACTCTTTTTAGTTTTACAAATAGTTCTGAATGCGAACTACAGATACTTACCAGCTGTAGTCACAGAAGGAATAGTATTCGTTGCTAAAATTGGTGCCACAGTTGCTGCTGCTACTGGAGTACCAGTACTAAAAATTGTTTTCTGTGGAGGAAAAAGTTGTATATCAAAAACTGTTGAAAATTTGCTTAAAAATCTTACTGTAACAGCTTGAACTAGTTGCCAAGCTATTAGCCCTTACAAAACATAATCTTTATATGTGGCTTAAAACCATGATTTATTGAATAAAGTAACAACTTTTGAATAAAGTAACAACTGAATGATCTCAGTTACTGCATTAAGCCATTATTCATACAACATAACATGCAGTAATTGATATCATGCAATCTATTAAGTTAAAAAAAAAAACTTGCTCCAAAAGTGTGATGCGTGAATGCCTCAACGGAAAAGAAGTAACTGTTTGGACTGCATTAAAAATAATTTACCTGAGCCATGTTGTGAAGCTGTTTTTGTGTTCCTATGGCTGGATGAGAAGGTAAAGTAATTCTGGTTGCTGTATCTCTTGGCTGGGCTGGCCGCTGAATACTGATAGGTGCAGAAGGTGGGTGCTGTTGAATTGACAGTGCTGGCCGACTGTTTAAAAAAAGTTATTTTACTTAGGGTAGTTAAAAGAGATATCAAGAGATATCATGACTTAAGATGTGCATTACCTAAATGTCAAGAGCAAGTACTGTCCTCTTGGAACATGAATCAGGATGATTTCATATTACATGGATAACTTACAGTGCACGGAAGCTGATTAGCATAGCAAAATACTGTGCAAAAATGGCTTGGCTCATTGAGCAATGAACTAAGAAGGCAACCTGAAACAGCCTGTATATAGCAGCCAGATCATATAACGTGATCCTCAGGTACAAACAAATCAACATGCAAATACATATATACCTTCCAATTATATACTTGGTCTACTTAATGCTGTGTTCTCTGATGGTTACCTGAGCGTGGATTCTGTAGCATGTGTGGTTGTTGTAGTAATAACAGGTGACTGAGCCCTTGTGGCTGAGACTGTTGCAACTACAGCAGGTGGAATAGTACTTGAAGTTGTCACAGCAGGCCGAGACTATGTAGGCAAGAAAAAAAACCATCTTATTGGAATTGCAATTTTGTTATTGTAAGAACTTCCAACTATTTCAGAATCTGTTTCTTTAAAAAAATGAGTACTGATATTTAAGTTATATCCTAGATAATATTCAGTTGTATAAAATATAAAAATTGTCAGAAGGCATTATTTTTAGAGCAATAGAAAAGAAAAAGTGCATGACAACCTGTGAAGAGTAAAACAATACTTAATCAACTACCATAGACATTGAAACTCTTAAGTAGAAAGGCATCTTGAAGTTCACTATATTTTATTTACAGTAGCTTCTCCAAAACTATTTCTATAATGTTAAGAAAAGAAACTGTCAGATTTCCCAGATTATTTATGCAATGAGCCATTAAATCTGCAAAGTGATTTCTTACTGAAAGAGACAAAAGAAAGCATTGAAACCATTAAATGACAATACCACATAAGTGCAACTTGCCTGGATGGGTTGATGAATGATATGCTGAACTGCTGATTGAGCTGTTGCTGCATTTGGCAATTGCGAAGCTGGCCTCAAGACAGTTGTTACTTTAGAACTTGACATTACAGCAGCAGCTGCTGCACCTGAAAGAAACCATACTCATATAACTGAACAACATTTAATGTTCCATTTTAAAAGTGTCAGCTATAGCTTTTGTGTAGGACAGGGATCCCCAACCTTTTTGACGCCGCGGCCCGGTACCGGCATCAGCTGGGCGCCGCGGCCCGGTACCGGCATCAACTGGGCGCCGCCATCTTTTTTTGACGAAAAAGTGCTTCCGGTGACCTCACCGGAAGCACTTTTTCGTCAAAAAAGATGGCGGCGCCCAGCAACCAGCGGCCCGGTAAGAGTTGTTCCGCGGACCGGTATCGGTCCGCGGACCGGCGGTTGGGGACCCCTGGTGTAGGAGACATGATGAAAAATTAAGGAATACTACCAATACCCATAACTGTATACAACAGTTAAGTTCAGACACACTTAAAATCACAGATTGGAAGAAGTCAACTGGGCCATCTAATCCAACACCTCATGCAGAACTCCAAATTAGAAGGTTCCTAACAAACCACTGGGTGGCTAACTCATCCAACGTAAGAGAGCATCTCCCTTGGAAGTTGGTTTCATTGTCAATTTCACTATCATAAGGAAAAAAAAATCATAATATTTAATTGTAATTTGCCTTTCCTTTAAGGCCACTATTCTGACTTCCGCACATGGGATGACAGAGACCATAGAGAACCTTTTTCTAGGCAATGTCCTCTCAAAACCTTAAGCAGTGCCAGATTTACCCATACCTAGTCTCTTTTCAAGGCTAGTCTCCTTAGTTTGGTCACAAGAGCCTATCCAGTATTATCAGGAAACTTTTATATAAACCACACTAGGGAGACTTTTTTTGGGGGGGGGGAGAGGGGTATGTTTTAATTATAACAAGTGGCTTATGATTTAGATTCCCCAAATTTAGAGGGGCAGCTTATCTCTGGGTGGCATTTTGATGAAAACTTTGAAGGTTGGCTTACCCACAGATGTAATTCATGGGTACGTACACAATGTGCCATATATACATGGTTCAGGAGATCTGAATTTATTTAATGTCAGAACATCCACCCCATGTTTCTATGATAATATTAAAGAAATTCAGCCCTTCAGCCACCTCTTACAACTGCCCAATGGAACATATTTCCTGTTTTCAAAGAAGATAGGTCTGACTTATTTTGATAATTGGATAAATTACAGTGGCTCAGATACTATGGTAAACCATGGACTATAACATCATTTCGATCAGGCTGCTAAGACAAACCTAAACAACTGTTCTTAGGGCTTAGCATAATATAAATGCAACTTAAGACTAATCTCTTTAATGGGAATTGAAGTGGGAGTCTCATTGACCTTAACTGCAGAAAACGTTAACATACAACCATAACCATATTGTGATATTTCCAAAGCAACTGAGATTTTTTTAGGATCAATGAACTATATAATGCCACAAAGATGTATTGTGATATCTCCCAACAAGAATGTAGTTAAATGGAATTGCTTCAGATTCAAGTCCAGCCTTCTCTAGATGCTTCACTTTAGGAGTAATATCTATATTACCCATATCTAAAAATTATCCAAACAAGATTGCTATATAATCATTTGCTACAAGAAAGTACAATTAAGTTTATTACCTCGAGGCAAGTGAGAAGCTCCAATATGTAAGGGAGGCCCAGGAGCACTACTTCGGATAATTGACATTTGAACATTGGTTGTCATAATATGGTGCACGCTATTGGGATGCCCCTGCATATAAAATAGTTATAAAATACAATTATAATAACTATGGTTAATCTGAAATTTTAAAACAAATACAAAGGTAAAATTTAAGTATACTTCTTTACAGTAGAAGTGTATTAAAGACCTTTTCATTCTCTTCTGTTCCATAGTCTTAAGGAATAAGTATATTTTAGCAGGAAAAAAAATACCTGTTGTCCACTTATTGTTGCTACAGGAATAGCAGATGCCTGTGGGATGCTACTTTCCATTGTTACAGTAACCTGGCCAGGGACTTTGGTGGGACCAGACAGAGTAGATGGTGGGGCTGGTGGGGCTGGTGCAATAGGACGACTGGGTATTGCGGGCTTCAAAGGAGGCTGAAAATAACATAAAAATATAATTGCTTCCTCTTTATATAAAAATAACATAAGTATGTAACAGTTATTTTTCCTTATGGCAGGAGCAGGCAACAAGTGGTTTTTCAGTGTTTATTGATATAAACTCTCATCATCCCTCCCTACAGCCATGTTACCAAAGTAGCTGCAATTTGGCAATATCTGGAAGTCATCATGTACCAGTCCCTTAGAAGCCAAAATTGGGAAGACAGCAGACAGCAAGTGCCACCTAATGCAAAGCTGAAGAAACAGTGGACCACTTACTTAGTAGCTGCTGCAAGAAGATTGCACAGAATACAAGCAATGGCACGACAAAGTAACAACAATGGTGCATTGGAAGATCTGCAAGAAATATCATTTGCCTGCAAGTAAGAACTGGTGGGACCATATAATAGAGAAAGTCACAGAAAATGAAGAAGTTAAATTTGCCCTGAGATTTTAGAATTTAAACAGATAGGCACAAAAAAGTATGGATAGTGGATGTGGCAGTAAGGAAAAAGCAGAATGGAACAGAAGGAACTGGAGAAGATAACAAAATATGAAGGCCTTTAAGCAGAAATAGAACTGTGGCAAAAGAAAGCAAAGACAGTACCAATAGTCATAGGCACCTTGTGTGCAATCCCAAAACAACTGGAGCACCATTTGAACACCATCAGCATTGGCAAATTCACTACCAATCAACTGCAAAAGGTGGCTTTACTTGGGAACAGTTTATACGCTGCGATGATATCTGTAACACTATTAAACATCCACACCTGCTTATCCCAGCCTTGGAAAGAACTTGATAGAAAAAAATGCCAAATCCAGTCTAAATATCTGGCTGACTGCAATGAATCATAATTCATCAGTCAATTGCAAAAGGCAGCTTTACTCGGAATAGCTTAATAAATGTGTACAAAGTCAATATTGAGAAGACAGAAACAGATGTTGCCTCTGCAAAGAAGCTGAAGTGGGCTACCTAGCTAGCTGCCACAAGATCACATAGACTGACTACAAACACCGGTATGACAAAGTAGCAACAATGGTGCATTGGAATATCTGCAAGAAATACCGTTTGCCTACAAGCAAGACCTGGTGAGACCACAAAATAGACAAAGTAGTAGAAGGTGAAAATGCTGAAGCCCTGGAATTTTATAATTCAAACAGATAAATACCTGCCACATAACATCCTAGACTTAACAAATGTCAGTAACAAAGCAAAAAACTCTGAATAGTGAATGTGGCAGTACCAGAGCTAGCAAAGAGAAGAACTGCAGAAAATCACAAAGAACTACAAATAAAAATTGAACTGTGGCAAAAGAAATAAAGATAGTACCAATAATAATAGCCTTAGGTGCAATCCCAAAACAATTGAAGCACCACTTGAATACCATTGGCATTAACAAAATCAACACTAGTCAATTGCTTTATTTGGAACAGCTTACAACCTGAAAATATATTTGTAACACCATGAAACAATATCATATGCCTATCCCAAGTCCTTGGGTTGGATTCAGTAGATGGATAAAAATGCCAAATTCAGCCTGAATATCTGGCTGACTATGCAACCAATCATAATAATCTGGCTGACTATGCAACCAATCATCATAATAGAGTATTAAACATATATGTTTAATTCACATTTAAAGAACCTATAGAAAGGTATTTAGTAGTATACATGAAAGTTGGGTTATTACATACTTTTCCTATATATCTACTGAATAGTGGCCTTTCTTTTTTTCAGTTACTTTCTGTAATTTTAAAAAACCTTCACTGGATCTAAAAGAAATCCAGATTAATTATTTGTGATAAGTCAGCGTAACTGAAAATACCTAAGGCATCAAATGCCAACGTGAGAGAAAAATATTTACAATTGTAGTGTACAAAATTAGTTTCCATTACCTTGATAAGCCCTTCAGGAAAGGTAAGTGGCACTGCTGGAGCCAAATGAGTTGGAGGAGCTGCCACTGTAACTGGTACACCTGATGGCACTGTATGGTGTTGAGTCAACATTTGCACTTGTGGATATGGTCGAACTACCACTGTTTCCTGCTTCTCTTCACGGGACTGAAGAGAGCTAGCAGGAACCACATGATCTCTTGGAGTCACTTCCAATTCTCGATTAGGTTCATCACTTACTATTTGAAAAGAAAAAAAGAACCCAATATAGAAAATTTGAACCATTACCATGAAAAGTAACGATTTATTAAACTGTGTAAACATTATATTTAATTTCAGTGGACTTACTTCCATGGAATATTGTTCTTGGTAAAAATGTCTTACCTGTTGTTGCTGGATTTATCAGTCCAGCAGGTCCACTGGTAGAAATTGGAGGAGCTGGACCTAGAGTTGGGGGAGGGACTCCAGTCCGAGGAAACTGCTGGGAACTCATTTCCGCCTGTGAAGCACATATGCAGTTGTAAGAGATTCAGATGCCCGCATTACTGAATACTTTGTTGAGAAGTCTCAGTGAAATCTATTGCTCACATTTTTACTTTCATATATTGTTATTTACAACTGACCTGTAAAGCACTCTCAAATCAAAATTCTAATTATATAGTTCAAACAGCTCAATTATGTTAAGTAACAATTGCAATAAAATGTATGAATGCAACAGCAGCTAGAAATCAAATCAGTTTTTAGACATTCAGCAGACAACTATCAATGCTAAACAATGTCAAGCAAATCAACTGCTTATTCAGAAATAAGTTGCACTGTGTTCAGAGATAATCAATTAAGTTTGCAGAGAATGGAGTTTTAAATGTGTTTGAAGTTTGAGTAAATTTTTCTATTGAATAGTTTTAGGAAGCTTAATAAATACCACTTCATCATCATGAAATTGTGTAAGCCTGACACTGAACTCCAAGCATTCTCATAATTGTGTAATTTTATATACACTTTTATGGAAATAATCCTCATTAAACTAATTTAGTAGATGTATGAATGGACAGACAGAGGGATAGATAGTAGTTCTCAAAGTGTGAGAATAGTGAGAATTGTTTCTCGTGGGTATAAAAACATTTCTATTTCAAAGTCGATTCTATTTGAAAGCAGCAACAAAGAACACCGTTGTCACAGGTGCCAGACTGAAAAGGAAAAAGCTGGCTATTTCTGGGAACTGCAAGCAGATATTTCTTAAAACAATAAATTAGTCTTATAGTACATTGTAAAAAAAATGTGTCATCACACCATTGATCCACATTAAATTGGTATTTTTTTGCCTGAAATTTTCCGAAGACTCAGTCAGAGGTCCTAGCCCACAATTACTTTACAGCATAAGACCTTATTACGGGTCTCTGCGTTTCTCGTTTAGCTTTCAGATTCCTTTTCAAACTACATTGTAGACATGCTCTAACGGAGGCCATTAGGACACACAAGGTGAACATAATGCTAGTCTTACATGTTACAAATGTATATTTAAACGAAATGTGGCTAGCAGAGGCTCCAAGGCGATCTAGTCTCGTCGTGCCCGATAGCAATGGGAACTTCGCCTTCCGAATAAAGCAGTCCGGGCTAAAGGCTGCTTTCAACTTTCCGTGTCGGAGAGTGTCGCGATCGGAAGAGCTTTAAGGATAAAATTCTCAAGACGAAAAGCGACTCACGACCAACGCAGAACTAGCGGCGAAGCCCACAATCAGACCCCGCCCCGCCAGAGGCGTCACACGAAGCTCCTCCCTTTCTCTCAGATACGGGCGGAATTATTCTCTTGAAATAAGTTCCACCCACTGGCTTCGCCGTTAAAAGTCCAGCCCCTTCTCTCACCAGCCAATTGGAAAGTCTCACCTTCCTACAGTCGACCAATCCGGGTCAAAGACTAGCACTACAGGCCAACCAATAGGGAAACCCACATTGGCTACGCCTGGTTACCAATAAGAAAATAAGTAATGGCTAATTAGGGCCAGCTAAAGCCCGCCTCCCATCCCTCCCTGGTCACTATGTGGAACAGACGCGCAGAATAAAGGACCCGGATGTTCAGATAGAATAAAAAAGCTGCAGCTACCGACAACAAACCCCGCGCAGAGCTTCTAGGAGAAAAGAGAAAGGGACCTCTCGGGTTGATATCTACTGAACCGTGACTAGAAGGGACGATGACGGCTTCGGGCAGACCCCCGTCTTCGAGGCAGCTCTTCCCACGACTTACCTGGTGAGGAGGGCGGCGGAATCCCTCCGGAAAAACTCCCCGAAGCACTACGACGTGCACCGACACCGAGGGGGCTCAGTCGAAGTGTTGCTTCCGCTGCTGCAGCAAACCACCCCTCCCCCTTCAGATCGATTGGGTCTCGGCGCGTCCCGCCCACCGTGGTGAGACTTTCGCCTCGTTGTGCGCGGCCATTGGCTGAGCCGCGGGTGGCGGAAAGAGTCTTGGGAGTTGCAGTTCGAGATTCGAACGGCGGCTAAGTCAGGTGTCGCGAGAGGTTGAAGCAAAAGGAAGACATGCGATTGGTCGCCTACAAGGAGGCAGAACACCTAGGCTTGTCTCCGCCCACTAGCTACATGATTGGCTGGCCATCTCCCATGGAGACGGCTTCGGGAGGCAGAGCAAGGGTCTCCTGTGCCTAGAAGTCGGCGGGAAATTGGCTTGCTGTCGGTCAGCGGGAAGGAAGATAGCTCGCCCTTTTTAATTTTTTGTTAATTGTTTTCCGAACGACAAAAGCAAAAGCAGGATTATTTTATAATCTTCCGTGAAGTTTTTCTCCATACATAAACAGACCCGCTCTTCTATCGCGCGCGTATTACTACAATATGTAATAGGTTGTTCAAGCAGCTGTTGTAATCACCGCGATCTGTCTGCCAAATGTTAGGCAACCTTAAAAATCTCTAGCGCAGCCAGTTGAGTTGTGATGCTCAGGAATTTCAGTCGCTCAATTCTTCCTCTCTGTTTTTAATCCCCTAACATTTATAGGACCCTCGTATATTAAGTAGACTGTGTCTGAAATAAATGGCATTCTGTGTTAACACAGGAACAATAGTGAGCCTTGCTGGACTAATTAGCCAAATTATCTTAATCCTGAAGATTAGTAGAATTTATCTGTTGTCATAGATCATATTGAAGAATTTAAAGTGTTTCTCTACAAGTTTCAAAGGATTTCAGAACATGACATAAATTACATTTACTTTTTATCTTCAAAGCTTTAGAGAAATTAGACATATGAAATATTTTCCAAAGTTTTCTACTGGTATTTCTCCCTGGTGCTGGGAAAAATTCCAGGTTTAATAAGATTTCTATCTGAACTCAACCAATATTAGAAAGAATATTGTTCAAAAGCACTATGTAACAAAAATGATTCCAGCTTTACAAGCTGTAACAATTTCCTGTTTCAAATATATGGAAATAATATTTTTCTTGAGCCACACACAGAATTCTTTATAGCATTCTAATTGTAGTTGGAATTGATTCTGACAGTAGGATTAGCATCTAAAAGTAGTTATATTGTTCTGCCATGAATGGAAGTCTTGTATATTAATACATGAATTGACACTAGAACCATTTTCTCAATTATAATATAGTGGCTCCCTATAAGCATAAGTTTTCCAGTGCTTGTATGAGGTGTAATTTCAGGGATTCTCACTGAAAGGTTTGCTGAGTTACGATTCCAACTACAAGTTACTCCCTGTCTCTTATTCCTTCCTATCTCAACTGAAGGTTCAACTGTATGGGAGAGAATGGCCTTCAGAAATTCATGCTCATTGGAGGAGTCATATAATAAACGAGCTGATTACAGAACAGGAAATAGATTGGGGGTAGAGCATTGTTGGTGTCTTTCTTGTAACTGCAGCCTAAAAACATAGGCCTTAGAATCTACCCTCTGCTTTCGTGTGAAAGGGGAGAGGGACTTTCATTTGGGAGAAAATAAACTTAAATAAGTTTGGCTAAAAAAATCAGAAATGAAAATTATTTTGGTTAGCAATAATGCTCACTTTTCAGTTTTTTTAGATTTCTCCAGGTAAAGGTAATGTAAACCCCTTGAACAGTTGGGATGGAACGGAACACTCCTCGATTCTATTGTGCACTCTCGACATAGAGTAGAAAGCAATTCCCATTGGTAATCAATGAAAGGAGATTATGCAACTTCCTTATTTGTAAATGTAAATAAGAATATATTCATAGGCAAAATAAGAATCCAGGATCCCGGAAGAACACGGCCCGTATTAGCAGCACTTCAACTACTTCACACAAGAGAGACAAACTTAAAAAAAAACAACAACCCTACTACGGTATTTAATAACGAGAGGGCGGAAGCAAACTTCCCACCGTCTCCTGGCGCACCTTGAAAGCTCCTCTTTGCCGAAGCCATCTGCACGGAGGACGACAGCCAATCCTGGGGCTGGTGGTCGGAGACAAGCCACCTAGGCGACCAATTGAATTTGTTTTCGTCGACATCTCGCGACACTTGACTTAGTCACCGTTCGGATCTCGAACTGCAATTCCCAAGGCTCCTTTCGCCACCCGCGGCTCAGCCAATGGCCGCACACAACGAGGCGAAAATCTCACCACGGTGGGCAGGGCAACCCGAGACCCAATCGTTCTGAGGAAAGGGCGGGTGGTTTGCTGCAGCAGCGGAAGCCACGCTCCCGAGCGAGCCCCCTCGGTGTCAGTGCATGTCGTAGCGCTTCTGGTGCTGGGGACGTTTCCGGAGGGATCTCCTCGCTGCTTAACGCAGAAGGTAAGGATCGAGGGAAAGGTTAGGCTCGAGGAACCTGCCGTTCCGTCCTGCTAAACTTTACGCCAGCGTTCCCCCCCAGCCAAGTGCCTTGGGTTGTTTTCATGCCGAATCCCCACGGTTACGTTGGGTGGGCAGAATGGAAACTGCAGTATAACCCATTTGGTCTGTCACACTCTGGGGGAGGATCGTGTCAAGTTCAGTGATGCCCAATAAGCTGCCGTCAGTTTTAGGCTGATCTTGTGCCCGCCCAACCGGTTTCCTTTTCCCGTATTTGCAAAGAGTAAGTGAAAGTGCCTCCTGGTTTTTGTGCCGGTGTCATGTAACTTAAGCAATCGGGACTTCTTTTTTTGTTTTAACTCTTGCTAGTTTGGCGGTTGGGAATGGAGATCATCCGATCTTTTTAACGAAATCAAAATGATCTGTGTCTTTTCTGTGAAAGGAATGAGAATCGGAAAAGCCGAAGCGCTTCCATTCTTTGTTGTGGGGAGGTGGAAGAAGAGAGAGCAGAAACATCTGTGGTGGGAATTTGCTATCTGGTGCTTTCGGGGAATTTTGTGCCTACAACTTTGTGTTTATATATATATTTACTGTATTAAATTTGTATGGCTAGCTATCTACTAGAAGGAAGTCTAACAAATGCACAAAATAATAGTTATAAAAACTATTTGACCGCAAAAGCACTGGTTCTCTGATAAAACTCACATCCATCTTAAACCACAGTCTCAACATTAATCAACTGCCTCACATCCTGACATCTTTATCTGGGGAAAAGGCAGATTTTCACGTTTTTCCTGAAGGTCAGCGGGGTTGGGACTGCATGCATATCTAGTAGGACTGGGGGTGGCTCTACCATAAGGCAGGGCCATGACAGAGAAGGTATATTTCTGAGGTTCCCACCAAGTGACACTGTTTAATCAACAGCCCTCTAGTTGTATTATATACCACTTGATATCCTGCAATGCCTTTGAACATCAGGGGACCATCTATGCATAGAAAATCTGCATTGACGCAATCCAGTCTGAAACTGCTGTTGCTTTCTTATTCCAAAGAATGTCTAATAATTAGTCAAACTGCTCCAGAACTTCAGGAACTATCCCCAATTTCTTCTGGAACTACACTGGGTTCAATTTCAATAATTATCTCATGTGACCAACATTTAAAGATAATAATTATCTGACATATAAGGAGGGTACCAGACTGGTTACTCCTGATCTGTAATTTAAAAAAATCAGGGTTCTCAATTGTGTAAGTGTTACTGGACTTTCTTCCATGAAATGTACTATGAATAGTGGATGTTGTCATTTCTGTACCATAGATTTTATTATCATTAAATCTCTTCTAGAAGTGCTTTTAATTTTTGTATAGAAGTCTGATAATCATTGCAAATCTTCGTACTATTAGTGGATGGTTTACATTTCTTAAGGACTGCATTTTAAATATTAATATTTTCACTTTTTAGTGTTTTTTTAAGATGAGGACTCTAATTGCACTTATTGGAATTTGGATGACCTTCTCCCTAGTTGAAGCACATTCAAAAGCTGTTACAACATCCTTAACTACTAAGTGGTTTTCCACACCTCTGTTACTTGAAGCAAGGTAAAAATGTTGACAGTGTCTTTTTTCCCTTGAAACATTTTATGTGTATAAAATCTCATTTATTCATGTTACAGTCTTGTATGTCTTAACAGTATTATCATATGTTGCTGTGAGTTGGATGGTCTTAGAAAGTTGATGAATATAATTTCAATGTAAATATATGCAGGTAAGCTAAGAGCACTGGTTTACTTAAAAATGCCCATTGAATTCATAATAAAATAACATTTGAATCAAAGTCTTCTAAATTGCAGTGGTTTTTTTTTTTTTTTGGTTTTTTTAAATGAGACAATTTTTTTTCCAGTGAATTTTTAGCAGAAGAAGACAATGAGAAATTCTGGAATTTTGTTGAGACTTGCCAAAACTTTCAGTCATCTCATCATAATGGTAATTGTTTTTATCCTTATTTGGTTTATCAGTTAGATATATTATTTAGCCTAGAAGATTGTTTTTTTAAAAGTAAATATCTTCATTACAACTGCAGAATATTACGTTTTGATATTCATAATTGGAAGATCAGACTGTTCTGCAGTCAGATGTGGATGGCAGTGAGATTAGACCTGCCTTAATTATTAATGGATTCTTTATTTGTTTTATGTTATGATTTTGCATTTTACTCTAGGCAATTGTATTCCTTATTGGAAGAAGCTGGATTGTAAAATCAACTGAAACAATTGTTGTTTGAAATCCTTCTTGTGTTCCCCTGAAAACTAAATAACATATCTTGTTCATTGGTAGGTACTGATTATTCCTCGTACAGTGCAGTGCTGCAAGCTGCTTCCCAGAATCTCTCACCTTTGCAGCAAAACTTGTTGAAGTTTGCTTTGTCTTTACGCTCCTATTCAGCTACAGTTCAAGCCTTTCAGCAGGTTAGACAAAACATTGGGAACTTTATGATTTTTTTAAAGATTTTCTTTTAAGCAATAATAATGCAATAGAAAATAACAGGTTGCTTTTCCTTTTAACCTATCAAGACTATACCTTAAAGTTACCCCTCACTATTAAAAATTGAAAAAAGTCATAGTAATACTGTAAAATTATTGCATGGAAACTCTCCTATTTTGATTGGAACAGTTAAAATTGCAAAAGCAAATAACTTCTTTTTTTAATCTTTCTTATTGACTGCCATTCTTACCATGAACAGTATGCATGAAAATAAAACAAATTTGCAAAGAGAAAAAAAAGTGCTGAAAGAGGTAGAAGAAAACTAATCAGATTATTATAAGATTGTTCCCTGTTTTTCATATAGCTCAGTGATCATTTATTTCCTCAATTGTAAATTAAGTGACAATTTCTTTGTGGGATGTATGACTGGAAAGATTGGAGAAGTTAATTTTATATTACTTGCTTATATCTATCTGGACTGAAAGCAGAAAAATTATGAAAAAGTTCTTATTCAAGTTTTAGCCCGTCAAAATTATTCCTTTTCACCATTTA